GAGCGTGTATGTGAGGGGTGTGTGTATATGTGAGGGGTATGTGTACGTGTGTGTGTTAGGAGGGTGTGTGTGAGAGAGGGGGGTGTGTGTGAGAGAGGGGAGTGTGAGGGGTGTGTGTGTGTGAAGGGTGTGTGTGTATGTATGTGTGAGGGGGGTGTGTGTGTATATGTGTGGCACGGGGGTGTACAAGCTGTTGAAATTTATGCCCTGCATTATTAAGGAGGCACACCATACCACGATGTTATTTCCCAATACTAACCTGGTGATGGGACACAGCTCTTCCCTGGTCATGGAGTTTTACCAGGACCCTCGCTATTCCCTGTCAGTCCATCCACTCTTCCTGATCTGGCTCAGAGTCCAAGTACAGCCTGACACCCCTACGACCGCGAGGGGAAGTGCAAAAAGAATGTGCATTCCTGTAGCACCTTCCACCACCGCAGGATTTCCCCTAGCGTTTCACAACCAGATTTCGAAGGTGGGTGTGGGGGGGGGAAGGGTAGCAGGTAAGCTGAGCACAGCAAGATTCCACAAACAGCAATGCGATAATGGCACCAGATACGTGATTTAAAGCTGACAGCCTGGGGTGACTGCTTCGCAAACCTGGTCCTGAGCTGCTGGCCACGTGCCACTTTAGTTCACCACCTGCCTGTTGGGCTGCCATTTCTGTCCTAGGCCTGTTGCAGCCTTCCAGCGAAGCCTGATGGAAGCTGGAGGAACAGCAACACCACCCACCCGCCCCCGCTCCCCTCTCCCAAATTTTCCAGTTGCCAGCCTCCTCGCCTCCATCGTTGGGTTCAACTACTTCAGACCGTGAATTCGGTTGCTCCATTTTGAGCTTCTTTTGTTTTTCACTGTAAGCCAGTTTGAATCTGGTTTTTCAAGTTCTTGCTTTTGGACAGAGGCATTCATTATTCAACTGTTCACATTCACCCTGGACAAATGTTTCATTCCATCAGTGCAACCATTACCTTTTGTTGTCATTAAATTTCTACCACTCTACCCCAGAAATTGCCCTATTGCTCTATCTAGCCCTGCCCTCTACCCTTCCACTCCCAACCAGCTTTCAAAGCGCACCATCACATTTGTGAAGGAGGGTCACTGGACTCAAAATGTCGATTCTGTTATTCTCTCTCTCTCTCTCTCTCGACAGATGCTGCCAGTCCTGCTGAGTTTCTCCAGTGCTTTTTAAGAGTTAGATTTTATTGTCACGTGTGCTCAAGCAGGAGTGCGTGAGTACAGTTGAAAAGGGTACAGAGTCACCAGTCTCTGGTGCCATTTGGTGCTTTCTGTTTCTGTTTTAAGATTTTCAGCAGTTTCTAAGGAAGTGATTGGCAGAGATCTAAACTCCCCTATCCTTCCAACACCACAGGCACAAGAGGACCTCTCAGACGCATGAGTTGCCAAAGTTTGCAACTCCCACAGGATTGCAACTGGGAGCGCAGGCCTGGATGAAAACCTCAAATCTCTGGATTTGGATTATGACCCCATGAGTAAGGCCATTCTGCCCCTTGGGCCTGTTCCACCATTCAATGAGATCATGGCTCATCTGTGGCCTAACTCCATATAACTACCTTTGGCCCGTGTAGAATTCCTATGTCTGGTGTGCACCGGCCCTTCAAACAGCATCCCGCTCTGACCTACCCTGTACCTGTAACCCTGCATTTCCAACCCAGCCTGCACATCCCTGGACACTACAGGCAATTTAGCAAGGCCAATCCGCCCAATCTGCACATCTTTGGACTGTGGGAGGAAACCCACGCAGACATGGGGAGAATGTGCAAACTCCACACAGACGGTCGCCCGAGGCTGGAATCGAACCCGGGTGCCTGGCTAACCAGTGTGCCACCCTTACACCTTTGCTCAACAACATTTTTAAACCCGAGATAGACATATTTTAACAACAATTTGAGATCGGAGAGGCCAAGGGAGTGCTGGGATAGTGCTTAAGGCGGGGGCTGAAACCAAAGATTAATTTGAAGCCGGGGATGGTAGGGGGCAGGGGAGGGAGATAAAGAAAGCAGTCTCTCCCCACCACCTAACAAAAACTGAAAGCATTCCTGTAGAGGGTCCCAATTGGAAGTAGCACAAAACGCGGCCTGGTGGGGAAGAATGTGGGACTTGTTGTTTACAATGCGCTAGTGCAGGAAGTGGTGGGACCTGCCATAGCCTTGGGACCTCCCCGCCCTCCAGCCCAGGAGAGAGAAAACCAGTGTGATACAGCCTCCACACTCCCATACAGCACATGGAGAGAGAGGCGCCAGCGCTAGGAGCTGTCTCATCCCCTCAGATGAGTCTAAAAACATTGTCTGGGGTTTGGCGCTCCTTCAAAACATATCCCAGTGGCCGCAAAGGTAAATAACTTGTGAAGAGAAGAACGAAAACTTTCAAAGGGGAGCCCCTGTCCTGACCTCTGTGGCTATTAGGAATTTTATTTTGCGGGAAAATAACTTGGGTTTGCGGGGGGGGGGGGGGGGGGGGGGGGGGGGAAATAATATTGTTCAGCTGTGTCCTGGGGGGGGGAAGGGGGGAGTTTTTTTTTTAAAAACCGCCCGCGCAGGAAGGG